GACAGGAGGCTCGGGGAGGCCATATGCGGATGCCCGCTGCCTCAACCGAAAGCCTGGCGGAAGAGCTCCGTCTTGCAGGCCCTGTGGACCTGAGTAAGATCCCGCAGGGCCCTTCTCTCAATGGGGAGCGTGTTCCACCAGGTGGGGGCCAGGGCAGAAAAGGCCCTGGCCCTGGTCGAGGCAAGACGGACATCTTTTGGGCCAGGGACCCCCAGGAGATGTTGATTGCTAGAGTGTAAAGCTCTTTGAGGCATATACGGGAAGAGGCAGAAATGGCAGAGATTATGGGAAGATGACCTCCCCCCTGCATATGAAACCACAGGAATTCACTCCAGGCTAACAAAAACCCATGCAAACATTACCCAGCTGTTTAGAATGTCCAAAACCCCGGACTTCTGGCCACGGCGGAGCGAATGGCAGCCAGCTCTCGGGACTCTCCTGCAGTTGGATCGCCCACACGCTGAGTGGGGGGGATCCGCACAAGCAAAGACCCTAAGGAGCCTTGGGAAAAGGCTCCGAACCAGGGGGCGCTTAGGGGAGAAGCCTCTTACCGGCCAGAAGGTCGGAAATTGAGGCTCTCCCTCTGCCCTGACGGCCCTGCCGCGCTGTGCCCCGAATGGGGACCTAGCAACGCCACCGAAACATCGGAGTGCTGAAGCGATGAAGTGAAAGCACAAAGAAAGAGACGAGCGGCTAACTGTGAGTTGGAGATCGAATTACAAGCTGCCGGCTAAAGCACACTCCGTCCCACGGGAAAGCGAGAGGGAGGAGGGAGGATTCCCCCCCACTTGAGAAAGAGACTTTTTGAAAGCAGAAAAGGGGGGCGAAGTGAAGTTTGGAAAAAGTAAATTACCTTTTGGGAGAGAGCTGAAAACGGATCAGGGAGTGATCCCTATGCTGCGCAGCACAAACTCTTAAAAAGTAAACAAAAACTGAAAAAGTTCTTGGAGAGGCAGACAAAGAAGACGGGAGAAGTTTCCAGTCTTAGTCCTTCCCCTGTAGGGGCTGCTGTCAATCAGCAAGAAAGTGAGATGCTGCGTCCTCTGCTGGATGAATTGCAGAAAATTAACCAAAAGTTGGATAGCATGGAAAGTGTCTATAGTATTCAACAGAAGCAGATGACAGAGACAGCCAGGAAGGTGGATGAGATTGCAAAGAAATGCCTAATATCAACGGAAGAAATACAGAAAGTCAAGAAGAAGGTGAGTAAAGTGGAAAAACACCAAGAGAAGCAGGATAATAAATTATTATTGCTTCAAATGGAAAAATCAAATTTGAGTCTTCGATTTCAAGGGTTGAAATTTACCAAGCAGCGTCTCAGAGATCAAATTTTAAAAGCAACATCAACACCTTTGAAAATTGGAGACCAGACGATCAGAATTTTGAAAGATGTTCCATTTGAAATCAGAATGAAGAGAAAGGAATATAAAGGGTTGACCATGTTCTTGCAAAGTCACCAAACTAATTATAAATGGTTGATACCCGAAGGACTTGTCTTTAAGTTTAAAGACAGAAGAGAAAAGATAGACTCCATCTTCAAGGCTCAAGACTTTTTGAAGAGGCACGCCAGCTCAGAGGATGAGGCAGAACTCGCTAAGTGGATGGCAGGAACTAGCGAAGAAGACAGCAGCTCGGAGGGAGAGGTGAAAGATGAGGAAGACAAAGGAGCGGCTAGAGGGCCAAAATACAATTTAAGAGACAAAAAAGGGAAGCACCCCAACGTTTGAGAACTAGTTCGGAAAGCGCAATAAAAGATAATACTAACCCCAAAGGGACATTATTAACACACTAACTAACCGATTTTGAAAGATATAGAAGAAAAAGGGATTGTCCAGCTGCAGAAGAAGATTTTGACTTTGACTTTACTAATAAAAGTTTAATATACTAATTTCTAACATCACTCAACACCTTTCTTTACCCCTCTATATACCCTCCCTAACTTTCTGAAATGTAAAAGCAATAAAATTCTCTCCTTTTTAGGAGAGGGAAATTAAAAAAAAAAAGAATGTCCAGAACCCCCAATAAGTTCAGAGAGCACAGCGGGCACATGTGTGATATGCAGAACTCCAAGAATGCTGTCAGTTCCAAGTCTGAAAACAGGAAGTCTGGATGAATCCCTAGGGGGGGAAATATGCACAATAAAAACATGCGTAAAAGGGGGGGTTGGGGAAGGATTTGTTTCATGCGCTTTTATCCTGCCCTTTCCTTCCCTGCTCCGGGCAGTTAGGAATGTGTCCCGCTGTTGGAACAGCTTGCTCCAGAGACATGGCCCAGGACCCTTGCGGGCTCAATCCGGCCTCAGCCTCTGTTAGCTCAGAATAGGAGGAGGAGGAAGAAGAAGAAGAGATTGGATTTATACCCCGCCCTTCACTTGGAGTCTCAGAGTGGCTGACAAACTCCTTTCCCTTCCCCTCCCCACAACAGACACCCTAGGAGGTGGGTGGGGCGGAGAGAGCTCTGACACAAACTGCTCTTTTTCAAGGACAGCTGTGCCAGAGCTTGTGACTGACCCAAGGTCACATCAGCAGGTGCAAGTGGAGGAGTGGGGAATCAAACCCGGTTCTCCCAGATTAGAGTCCACACACTTAACTCTGTCAATGGCTGCCGAAACTGCTGGTGGAGTCTGCCTAAGCCAGGATTTTACATCATTTCTCTCTCTCTCTGTCTCTCTGTCCCCAGACCGGAGAAGAGTTCTGGAGAACTCACTAGCTAGCCCACTGTTATGTGCTATTTGGCTGGTCCTAATAAAAGCTGTAGATTGCGTTCTGAGTTGTTGGATTTGTCTTTTGGATGGGCATGGCTGATCGAAACCCCCTTTGACCTTCAGGAAGCCTCTTGAACATTAGTCAGAGCTGGACTCGCTCCCCTCCTCCCACTTAATTCTGAACCAGGCTTGCTTCAGAGTCTGAGTCACAGAGAGACCGAACGGTGCAGTCCTGAACAGATTTACACACTTTCTAAATCCAGCGAAGTCAGTGGGCTTAGTAGGGTGTGACTCCGTTCAGGATTGTACTCCTGTCTTGTTCTTGGGCTTCACAGCAGACATGTCTGTCTCCTTCGCCTCCCCTGCACTTTGCTTTTTCCTGGCTTGGCAGGCCTGTCCTTTGGGAAAGAAGTGAAATAAATCAAAATGGGTCAGCAAGAAGAGGTCGGGTTGGGGATGGCCACAGATTGTGTGTGTGTTTGTTGACTTTTCATGTGCCAGACCTGCAAAGGTGGCTGAACTCTTACACTGTGACCACTGGCATTCTTACTCAATACTCTTGTTTTTGACATTTCAGCAGGTGCTGTCTGCTTGTTTTCCATCCTGCCTTCATTGCCTTAAAGGCTAGACACTTGCTTTTTAAAAAAAAAGTCCAATCCAGTATTCCCAGGATACCGAAGAACTTGGCCTGCTTATTTCCAAATGCCATGGTTGCGTTGCATTTGTTTGGAAGTGGCAAATCCATGCAGCACTGCTTAGAATTGACCTGTCAGGAACAGCCTTGGGCTTGTCTGCATTTTCATTTTCGAGGGTTTTTCCCCCCCTTTCCGCATGCATTTTGCTCCCTCTGGTGGTCAATTTAGTGTTACATTGCTGCGTGTCCGGCATATTACACCATGTAATATCAAGTCAACCACTAGAGGAAGAAAAACACATGCAGAAAAGAAAAAAGAACAACAACACCAAAGCAACAGGGACACAGACAACAAAAATGAGAATGCAGAAATTCATTGAGAAATTCAGGCTAGCCTTGATCTGTTACCATGGATGACTCCAGTCAGCAGTTTTAGTGTCATTTGCCCTGGCTTTGCTTCCAGGCAGTGCCCTCGGTGTCAAACTCGGGGCCTCGTTTGCCATGTTTTAGCTGTATCTACTGTAATGGGGCATAAGGGGGGGGGATGCTGGATGTGTGTGCGAGTGTGTGGGGGCTTTGCTCCGTTGCTCGGTAATTGCTTTCCAAGATGCCTCCCTTTGGGGAAGAATGTTGTGAATGACTTTGAGTGTCTGTCTTTGCTTGTCACGACCTTAGATAAACAAATGGTGGGAAATGCAGGTGGGGGGAAGGAGACATAATGGCACATGGGGAATTTAGGTGGGCTGGTTGCGAGGAGTGATTGGATGGGTCACTGGGGGGGGCATGTTTGAATCATGTGTAATATCAGGATTGGTGCCTTTAGAGCCAGTCCTGACCCAAGTAGTTTTAGCTTGAAACATGTATGTCTCTCAATGAACAAATCACTAATCTGTGAGTGTCGTTGAGGGTTCGTCTGTTCAAGAACCCGACACTCCGATTCTTCTCCATTATGTCAGAACGCCCATGAACAGGTATAAGAGTCGAGAGAGAGAGAGCACACAGGACCAGGCTTATTCCGTTTATTCCAAACGTTTGTTTGCAGGACACTTGGGGATACGGTGGTGCATATAAAAGAAAGAGCAGAATTTGGGCCTGTTTCAAAAAGTAATTTTTAATTATTTTAAATTTCAATGCAACAACAGCAAACAGCTAAATCTCAAGAACCAGAAAATGGTTTACAAAACAGTCAAGACTGGAAGAATAGGGTTACATTACAATCGTGCACAGATTACAAACATTATTACATAAAGTGTAAAACTTCGTAGTACTTGTGGGGAGCGGCAGACGTCGGAAACGAGTCTCCGTTAAAAACAGATCCTAAGAAAGGAAGCCATTTCAATTGGAAATCTGAACGTTTAGGTGAAATATCAGAGCCCGAAACTTTGTCAGGAATTTTACCCATAGCATAAAAATCCCAAACTTTGGGGTACCAAAGTGGTAAAGACAACATATTCGAGGACTTCCAACCATTTGAAATCACAACTTTGGCTGCAGTTAATAAGACTGAAATAAGTTCTTGGCGGATTTTTCGGGATTTGAGACTCTCGCCATAGGTCTAGCAGGATAAGGCCAGGACGTTTGTGGGATCAAGTAATCTGGGCCTGTTGTGAGATGTGCCTCCTGCTCACCCAGATCCTGCTCTCTGCCTTCTGTCCCAGGGCCGATAAGCCGGAGAGATGAACGTGGGCACGGCACACAGCGAAGTGAACCCCAACACCCGGGTCATGAACAGCCGCGGCATCTGGCTCTCATACGTCCTGGGGATCGGCCTCCTGCACGTCGTCCTCCTCAGCATCCCTTTCTTCAGCGTCTCCGTGGTCTGGACTCTGACCAACATTATCCACAACATGGTAGGACGCCCACGTGGGAGGGTCGGGGGGGCGGCTCAACGAGGGTGTCGATCCCGTTGTCCGGTTCCTGGTTTAGATAAACACAGAAAACACCATGTTGAAATAATAAACACAATATTCAGATGTACTTATAGCTAAATATATTTGCTTTTTATACACAACATCAACTCTAGTGTATTGTAAACACTTTCAACCTACAACATCACATTTCAAACACTTTCAAACTAAGTTATATAACACGAAGAGTCCAACTGTCTTTTTCCTGAGGGAGGATAAATACCAACGTACAGTTATTTGTACCAAACAATGCAGCAACCTATTGTACATTTCCCAAGTGATGATCCATCAGGTAGAGCTAGCAGGCAGCTTGCATTTCTCACTGTGATGATTCAGCTTAGCAAGCAAGCCTAGTAGATGTATTTTCCCATGAGGTGATTCAGCTAGCAAGCAGGCCTAGCAACACGCCTCCCGGGCATAACCTGCGTGTTTCGAACAAATCTTCTTCAGGCATAAATTTTTCTGAAACCACAGCTCTTGAATCTACCCATGCATAAGTCAAACAATGTAACCAGAACCAGAACAGCCATGTTTACAGTACAGCTTCAGTATCTGGCCTTCCAGTATTTTTCAGACCCTTTCTGCTTGCAGGCAAGCCCTCCTACATGAGGGAGGAGAAGAGATTGGATTTATACCCCGCCCTTCACTACCCAAAGGTGTCTCATAGTGGCTTACAAACTCCTTTCCCTTCCCCTCCCCACAACAGACACCCTGTGAGGTAAGTGGGGCTGAGAGAGCTCTGAGAGAAACTACTCCTGAGAGAACAGCTCTGACAGAACTACGGCTTGCCCAAGGTCATCCAACAGCGATGGTGAACCTAAACAGCATGATAATCAGTAGAGACATCACCCTGCCAACAAAAATCCACATGGTCAAAGCAATGGTATTCCCAGTAGTCATGTATGGCTGCGAGAGTTGGACTATAAGGAAGGCCGAGCGCCAAAGAATAGATTCTTTTGAACTATGGTGCTGGAGAAGACTCTTGAGAGTCCGTTGGACTGCAAGGAGATCAAATCAGTCAATCCTAAAAGAAATCAACCTGGACTGTTCCCTGGAAGGCCAGATAATGAAACTGAAGCTCAAATACTTTGGCCACCAAATGAGAAGGGAGCACTCACTGGAGAAGAAGAAGAAGAAGAGGAGAAGAGATTGGATTTATACCCCGCCCTTCACTTGGAGTCTCAGAGCGGCTTACAAACTCCTTTCCCTTCCCCTCCCCACAACAGACACCCTGTGAGGTGGGTGGGGCTGAGAGAACTCTGACACAAACTGCTCTTTTTCAAGGATAGCTGTGCCAGAGCTTGTGACTGACCCAAGGTCACATCAGCAGGTGCAGGTGGAGGAGTGGGGAATCAAACCCGGTTCTCCCAGATTAGAGTTCGTGCACTTAACCACTACACCAAACTGGTGTGCCACTTTGAAACATATGGGAGGTACAAGAATAAGAGTTGTGTTTTTGCAGAACTCCTGTTCCTTTGCACACAGCTTGTGCCGGGCAACCTGGTGGATTGGGCCCCAGTGGTCATATCCCTCTTCCTCCCACTCTTCTGCCCTTAGGTAAAGGTAAAGGTTCCCTTGCTCGAAAGCCAGTCGAATCCGACTCTCAGGTTGCGGTGCTCATCTCCGTTTCAAAGCCGAAGAGCCAGCGCTGTCCGAAGACGTTTCCGTGGTCATGTGGCCGGCATGACTAAACAGCAAGGCGCACGGAACGCTGTTCCCTTCCCACTGAAGTGGTACCTATTTATCTACTTGCAATTTCTTGCTTTCGAACTGCTAGGTTGGCGGGAGCTGGAACTAGAGACGGGAGCTCACTCCGTCATGCGGCACATTCGGATCTCGCACTGCTGAACTACCGACCTTCCACAGCCTGCAGTTCAGCGTCTTAACCACTTGAGCCACCGCAGCTCCCTTCTGCCCTTGGTGGGCTCCAAATCTCTCTGATTCCCCCAAGAAAAAGCAATCTCAGCTCTCCCACCATGGATTTGCATTCCTTGCATGTGACAAGCAACGTGATTTCCTGCCTGGAAGTAAATTCCACCGAGGAAATGCATCTTGTGTGAAGTGTCCATCAGTTACTTGTAAACTCTTGAGATTGAGAAATATTTACTTGAGACGCCGGCCCGGTTGGGGGGGGGGACAACAGAAAGGAAGGATTTGTCTCATGCATGCTGGTCCTTCCTACGGTCTGGACGGCTAGGCACTGCTGCCTAAGCAGCAAGAAGCAGCAATGGAGCTCCCCCAAGTGGTGGAATGACCGAAAGTGCTTTAGAGACGCTGGGACAGGAAAAATCCTTATTTTCATGCAAGGCATGAAGGCCTGTCCGATTGTAAGCTTATAGCAAGAATAATAATTTGGTATTCAGCTTTTGCAATGTGTGAAGTGTAGCAGGCCCTACAAATGCTTACAGCAACTGTGTAAAGTAGGTTTGCAGTTTTATCTTCCTGTTAAGCAAGGGGCCTCCGAGACCGAAAGAGAGTCAGCTAGTGAAGAAGAAGAAGAGGAGATTGGATTTATACCCCGCCCTTCACTTGGAGTCTCAGAGCAGTTTACAAGCTCTTTCCCCTTCCCCTCCTCACAACAGACACCCTGTGAGGTAGGCGGGGCTGAGAGAGCTCTGAGAGAAACGGCTCTTTCAAGGACAGCTCTGACAGAACTATGGCTTGCCCAAGGTCATCCAGCAGCTGCCCGTGCAGGAGTGGGGAATCAAACCCGGTTCTCCCAGATTAGGGTCTGTGCAATTTGCAATTTTTGCAATTTAGCTTTGGTATTCAGCTTTTGCAATGTGCGGAGTATTTCAGCAGGCCCTACAAATGCTTACAGCAACCCTGCAAAGTAGGTTTGCAGTTTTATCTTCCTGTTAAGCAGGGGGCCTCCGAGACTGAAAGAGAGTCAGCTAGTTAAAAGGAGAAGAAGAGATTGGATTTATACCCTGCCCTTCACTCGGAGTCTCAGAGAGATTTACAAACTCCTTTCCCTTCCCCTCCCCACAACAGACACCCTGTGAGCAGTGTTCCCTCTAAGCTGAGTTGGTGTGAGCCAGCTCACAGTTTTTTAGCCTCTGGCTCACAGATTTTTGTCTTCGCTCAGGAAGGAGGGCTCCAGAGCAAACTGATTTATGCAGCACCCAAATCGCTCACTCACAACTTTAATGCCAGTCGCTCACAAAGCAGAATTTTTGCTCACAAGACTCCACAGCTTAGAGGGAACATTGCCTGTGAGGTAGGCGGGGCTGAGAGAGCCCTTTTGGTGACTGCCGTTTCAAGGACAGCTCTGACAGAAGCATGGCTTGCCCAAGGTCATCCAGCAGCTGCAAGGGGAGGAGTGGGGAGCCAAGCCTGGTTCTCCCAGATTAGAGTCTGCGCACTTTTGCAATTTTTGCAATTTAGCTTTGGTATTCAGCTTTTGCAATATGCAAAGTATTTCAGCAGGCCCTACAAATGCTTACAGCAACCTTGCAAAGTAGGTTTGCAGTTTTATCTTCCTGTTAAGCAGGGGGCCTCTAATACCGAAAGAGAGTCTGCTAGTTAAAAGAAGAAGATGAGATTGGATTTATACCCTGCCCTTCACTCGGAGTCTCAGAGTGGCTTACAAACACCTTTCCCTTCCCCTCCCCACAGCAGACACCCTGTGAGGTAGGCGGGGCTGAGAGAGCCCTTTTGAGGACTGCCGTTTCAAGGACAGCTCTGACAGAACCATGGATTGCCCAAGGTCATCCAGCCAGGTGCAAGGGGAGGAGTGGGGAATCAAACCTGGCTCTCCCAGATTAGAGTCCACACACTTAACCACTACACCAAAACCTAGCATGTGAACGATCTGGGAGGAATGTTAGGGGGAGGGGAATTCCTGTTTCTCTCAGTATTTCTTCTCTCCCCTCTTGGTCACCCTGATGGTCCGTACTGATTTTCGTGGCAGGTGGTGTGGCATCGATTGTGGGTTACGCCACTGGTCGCCTCTGAGTGTCAGTTAAAGGCAAAACGGTTGCCGGAGGAGAAACTGGCCCTGAGAGCCAAGAGCATTCTCGATTTCCCTGCGCCTTTCCGTACTTCCAGCCGCTCCAGGTGACTGAGAGAGAGCACGGCGGCAAAGCCAGAAATGACACGTGCTTGTGTTTTTTCTCTTCCAGAGCATGTACATTTTTTTGCACACGGTCAAGGGAACGCCGTTTGAAACGCCTGACCAGGGGAAAGCCCGGCTGCTCACCCACTGGGAGCAGATGGACTACGGTGTGCAGTTCACCGCTTCCCGCAAGTTCCTGACCATCACGCCGATTGTGCTGTGAGTACACAGAGCGGGGATGGGGGGTGGGAGTGTGCTGCAGGAAACGGGGGTGTCCTCTCGTCCCTCCCCTCTGCACACGCTGCTGCTGCTTGGGGGGGGGGGGGGGGGGGGGAAGGATATCCGTGTGTGTCCCCCCCCAGCCACCGGTGGGGGATAGAGGGCGCAGGGTTTATTTATTTATTCCATTTGGAATAACAGGCTCAGGGCGGCTTACATTAGTTGGGACAGAGTCCCATAAAACCCACATAAAACTTCTAAAACATTATAAAACAATCATAAGGTGCTAGTAATAGTAATCATTCCATCATTAATTGAGATGGCGTGCTACATGATGTAACAGCAGACAATTTCTTCTGGCGTCACACGATGGTATGGCTCAATCTCAGGGTTGGGGCCTGGTGGAAGAGCTCCATCTTGCAGGCCCTGTGGAACTGTAGAAGAACCTGCCAGATCCAGTTTGGGAAACTCCTGGAGATTTGGGGATGGAGCAGGGGAGGACAGGGACCACAGAGGACAGGTACCATGCCACAGAGTCCACCCTCCAGAGCATCCGTTCTCTCCTGGGGAACTGATCTCTGTAGTCTGTACACGAGCTGTAATTCTGGGAGATCCCCAGGTCCCACCTGGAGGCTGACATCCCTGGAGGGGTGGGGAATAAGGGGATTTTTGTGGGCTTTCTGTAAGATTTTGTGAGGACGTAGGCATAATGATAGAGTGAGTCTGAGAAACTGTGGGCCTTGTGAACCAATGCAGAAGCCCTTTTGGTCTCCCTAGCCCTCGATTCTTTTCCTTAGAATGCCAAGGAAGAGACGGGCCGGGGCAAAACACGAGTTTGTTGATTCTTTATGGCTGGTTCTTCTCACTGAAACTCAACTACAGAACGAAACGCGGGGCCATTGTGCAGTTTGGGGATATCCAAGGACCATGGGGTCGCGAAGAGTCGGACTCGACTGTGCGACTGAACAACAACAAGGAGCAATACCATTGGACTCGGGTCACTCAATCAGTAGACCACATGAGCCACAACTGCCTAGGCAATGTATAGTGGGATTGCCAAGGTAGAAAGCAGTGCAGTAAAAGCAAGGCGAGATCTAGAATCAAGGTTACCAACACCAGGCTGGGAAATTCCAGGAGAACTGGAGGTGGAACATGAAGAATATCAGAAGAGACCTGCTGGATCAGACCAGTGGTCCATCTAGTCCAGCCTCCTGTCTCACACAGTGGCCAACCAGTTCCTCTGGAGGGCCAACAACATGGCCTAGAGGCCAAGGCCTTCCCCTGATTAAGAACATAAGAAAAGTTCTGCTGGATCAGACCAGTGGTCCATCTAGTCCAGCATTCTTTCTCACACAGTGGCCAGTCAGTTCCTCTGGAGGGCCAATAACAGGGCATCGAAGCCAAGGCCTTCCCCTGATAAGAACATCAGAAGAGCCCTGCTGGATCAGACCAGTGGTCCATCTAGTCTAGCATCCTCCCTCACACAGTGGCCAGTCAGTTCCTCTGGAGGGCCAACAACAGGGCATAGAGGCCGAGGCCTTCCCCTGATTAAGAACATAAGAAAAGTTCTGCTGGATCAGACCAGTGGTCCATCTAGTCCAGCATCCTTTCTCACACAGTGGCCAGTCAGTTCCTCTGGAGGGCCAATAACAGGGCATCGAAGCCAAGGCCTTCCCCTGATAAGAACATCAGAAGAGCCCTGCTGGATCAGACCAGTGGTCCATCTAGTCCAGCATCCTGTCTCACATAGTGGCCAACCAGTTCCTTTGGAGGGCCAACAACAGGGCATAGAGGACAAGGCCTTTCCTGATAGGAACATAGGAAGAGCCCTGCTGGATCAGACCAGTGGTCCATCTAGTCCAGCATCCTGTCTCCAGTTCCTCTGGAGGGCCAACAACAGGGCATGGAGGCCGAGGCCTTCCTCTGATTAAGAACAAGAAAAGTTCTGCTGGATCACCTTCACTACCCAAGGGAGTCTCAGAGCGGCTTCCAAACTCCTTCCCCTTCCCCTCCCCACAACAAACACCCTGTGAGGTAGGCAGGGCTGAGAGAACTCTGACAGAAACTGCTCTTTTTCAAGAACAGCTCTTATCAGAACTACGGCTTGCCCAAGGTCATCCAGCCAGGTGCGAGTGGAGGAGTGGGGAATCGAACCCGGTTCTCCCAGGTTAGAGTCCATGCACTTAACCACTACACCTTGTTCTGCCCATCGGTGGCCCGGAAGGGGCACGCTTTGGCTAGCGTGCTGAACTTAGCCAGCCCACCTTCCTTAGCGACCGACTCTCACCATCGGCTCTGAGAGTCTGTAGCTGCCCCTTCTCCAGCCCAGCCAGGAGAAAATGGCCCGCCCCAGGCCCTCACGGTACCTGCGCAGCCAGGAGAGGACGGCCCGCCTGCATCGCCAGCCTTCCGCTCCCTCCCCAGCCTCCCGCTCCCTCCCCACTCCGCTTTGGAGAGCCAAACAGATCCCAGCAAAGCCCAGCTGGGTGCAACAAAGAGATACGTCAGCCAATGCTCCATCTAAGCTGTGGAGTCTTGTGAGCAAAAATTATACTTTGTGAGCTACTGGCGTTAAAGTTGTGAGTGAGCGATTGAACTACTGCATAAATGAGTTTGCTCTGGAGCCATCCTTCCTAAGCTGAGACAAAAATGTGTGAGCCAGAGGCTAAAAAACTGAGCTAGCTCACACTAACTCAGCTTAGAGGGAACACTGACGGCAGCTCATGCTAGCTTGCGAGGGATGGGGAGGGGGGAATGAGCAGTGAGGGGGAAGGGCTAATTTGCTGGGGGCGTTGCCCTCAAATGCTTCCGTGGCTATGTGCCTGCACAGAGGCCAAGGTGTTCCCCGATGCCGCCTTCTGGCTCTGGGATTCAGAAGATTACTGCCTCTGAATGTGGAGATTCCCCTCAGCCACCATGGCTGGTGGACAATGCTCCCTCTAAGCTGTAGAGTCTTGTGAGCAAAAATTCTACTTTGTGAGCTGCTGGCATTAAAGTTGTGAGCGAGTGTTTTGGCTGCTGCAGAAATCAGTTTGCTCTTGTAAGACAAAACCTCTGTCCCTGATTGTGTTTGCCCAGGTCAATTTGAGAAAACACACAAAAGCAGTCCTGTAGAGTTGGAAACCAAATTTTTTTTTTTATTAATTAATAAGGAAGAATACAGATTCAAAGGTTTTGGAACCTTGAATACCCAACAGATTCTTCAAGTGTTACAGTGGGTGAAATAGCATTTTATACTTCACATTACATCAGAGAAATAAAACAGAGTTATATGAAGTTGCATGTTGTATCTATATAACTGATATGGTTACAGAGTGCTTACTGTTCTTCATTCTAGCTAGGTTAACTCACATTAGAAACATGCGCAGTTGTAGCTGGCCAGAACAAGCAAGGTCATGGGTAGCATAACTGTGTATCAGCATTTCAGCCTTCTTCCCAGCATGCATTCAAACAACAGTCACAAATGAACCAAAGTTAATACCTGAATACATTCATGATGTCAGAATCATATGCATTATGGAAGTGCTAAGCACACCTACCAAGTCAAACCTGTTAGGCAGTGGCAGAGTACAAAGTGGTTCATAAAATGCGCACAACACTCTGGAGCCATCCTTCCTGAGCGAAGGCAAAAATGGGTGAGCCGGAGGCTGACAAACTGTGAGCTAGCTCACACTAACTCAGCTTAGAGGGAACACTGGCTGGTAGCCACAGATAGACTTATCCTTCGTAAATCTATCTAATCTCCTTTTAAAGCTGTTTATTCCTGTGGCCACCACTACACCCTGTGTCAGCAAATTCCCCATTTGAATCACCCTCTGTGTAAAGTAGTATTTCCTTCTGTCCTTGCTGAACCTACTGCCTATCAGTCTCATTGGATGCCCTCAAGTTCCAGTACAGTGGAAGAGGGAGAAAAACTTATCTTTGTCAGTTCTCTCCACCCCGTGAATAATTTTATAAACCTCTATCACATCTGTGGGGTATTCAAGTTAATGAAAAACGGTGTTTGTACTCAATCATTGAAACACCATGTAAAGCTTCATCCTGGGCAAGGATCCTAATCTTGCAATCCCTATTGGTAGCCCAGGAAGAGCTGACCAATCACCTACCATCCAGTTCCCTGAGAGGGAACGTCTGTGATTGGACCTTATCTTGACAATCCTATTGGTTGTAATGTACAGTAGGGCGTGGCTACATTAGCCGGGAGAGTTTAAAAAAAGCACAGCCACAATGCAAAAGCTGTTCTGGTTGTTCTGTTCTAGTTGTGTTACGCGTTGCTCAACACAGCTGAATCACTTGCTGAAATTTGACTCTGACTCATTGTTAAGTAGTTGACTTAACAACATCCCCCCTTAGTTGCCACTTTTCTCAGCTGAAAAGTCCGAGGCTCTTCAGCCTTTCCTCATAGGGAAGGTGCTCCAACCCCCTAAGCATTTTGGTTGCCCTCCCACTGTTGCCCCCCAAAAAACATCAAGAATACAGAGCATCACTTGCTCCAGAGCCCCTATCTATACCTTGTGGCTAATAGCCACTGATGGACCTCTGCTCCATATCTATATACTAATACTGAAGTCGCCCCCTGGTGTGCGGATGCTTAAATCCGCACATCGGGGGGACCTGGGGGGGAGGGAGAGTTTTGGGCACACATGGGGTGATCCCCACGTCGGCACAAAAATCAGAAACCCTGAAAAAAAATCGGGGGGATGTTTAAATCCCCCCGGAACTGGCAGAGCGTCCCCTGCGCATGTGCAGGGAACGCTCTGCGAAGTCCGCCGCCGCTTCGGAGGGGGGGAGAGAGCAGCGCAGGCATCGACAGCTTCCCGAGCAACCCATGCTAATGAAACACCGGGGGGGGGCCCGCGGCGGATAAGCCGGTTAGGAGGGAGAGCCGCCGCCTGTCACACAGGGCAGCGGGCGGGCGGCGGGAGAATGCCGCGGCTTCCCTCCCTGCCCTCCCAAAAGGAGCCGATTCAGGGTCAGGGCCGACTGTACACGGACCCGACCTGAGGCTAGGTGGCCGAGGCCTTGGAGGGGGGAACCCCCGGGCCGGCCGGAGTTCCTCGCAAGTCCCACGGAGCGGGAGCGGGCGGCCAAGCGCAGTGGCTCTCACACTGCCCCTTCAGGCCTCCAAGGGTCTGTTCTTGCAAGGCCAATAGAGTTTATTTAGGACAGGCATTTTATTTAAATAGAAATAAATAGTACGAATTGCCGCCGCGTCTGCGGCATCCTGTAAGAGCTTCCAGAATCAAAAGTCCCTTCCTACACAAGAGTGAAAAATCCACATCATTCCCACATGCGAAGCAGGTAGGAAAAAGAGCTAGCAGAAATGCCAGCAGTGCAGAGGAGAGAAAATTGTTCTGTCTGCTTGCATGACCATGCGGAAATGTCTCTTCAGAACACGGCCAGCTTCTTCCCCAGAGAGGAGGTCCCCGGAGGCTAAGAGGCACACACCATTGCCTCTGTGTGGTCCAGTGAGAGACAAAAAAGGGGTGGGAGGGAAGGGACTAACTGTTATTGCTCTCTCGCTCTCTCTCTCTCCCCCCCCGCAAGTTTCGCGGGTCTTCTTTCTTGTGCTTATCTAATTCCCTCTTGAAGCCGTCCATGCTTGTAGCCGCCACCACTTCCTGTGGCAGTGAATCCCACGTGTTAATTGCTCTTTGGGCGAAGGACTTCCTTTTATCCGTTCTAACCTGACCGCTCAGCAATTTCATGGAGTGCCCACGAGTCCTTGTATTGTAGAGAAAGGGAGAAAATGACTTCTTTCTCCACCTGCTCTATCCCATGCATAATCTTATAAACCTCAATCATGTCACCTCTCAGCCGTCATTTCTCCAAGCTAAAGAGCCCCAAGCGCTTTAACCTTTCTTCATAGGGAAAGTGTTCCACTTTCAACCCTTTTATCATTCAAGCTGCGTTTTTCTATACTTTTTCCAATGCTTTAATATCCCTTTTGAGGTGTGGTGACCAGAACTGTACACAATACATTATCCTCCATTTTATCCTCACAACAACCCTGTAAGGGTAGGTGAGGCGGAAGTGTGTGTGACTGGCCCAAGGCCACCCAGCGAGCATCTGCGTTAGAGTGGGGGTTCAGCCCTGGGACTCCGAGAGCTTAATCCCAGACTCTAACCACTACACCAAGGCTGGCTCCAGTGTCAGCTGCTTTGGGGTCCCCTTGGGGAAGTGGAGCGGGGTCAAACGTACCGAAACAAACCCGCTTCTCTCCTTTTCCTCCGCAGCTATTTTCTCACCAGCTTCTACACGAAATACGACCGGACGCATTTCATCATCAACACTATCTCCTTGATGAGCGTCTTGATCCCGAAGTTACCCCAGCTTCACGGCGTCCGCATCTTTGGGATCAACAAGTACTGAACTCGGTGTGGGAGGGTGTTAGTGAGTTCTGGGAGATCGGGCTGAGGACCCGGTTCCCCCTTGTTTTGTCTGCCTCTGTGGGGGGGATGCAGTTCTACAATGGCTCTTTTTTCGACGGGCGCCTCTTGTACCGGATTCCAAGATCTGACAAGACCCCACCAGCCGACACTTGGATCCCAGACAGAGTTTAGCTTTACAGAGAGAGACCCAAGGGAGAGCTCAAATTGATTTATTTTTCCCTCTCGAGAAAAGTAACGACGCAGACAATGCTGAGATTTTTTTTTAAAAAGGTACTTGTAGGTTATTCTGTGGGTAGGAAGGACATCCAGCCTCAAAAACTCAAGAGATGTAGGAAAGGTAGGAGCCCGTCGCAAGGGTGACGTTTAGTTTTCTAGCAAATGCACTTTAAACCGAAAACTTTTTCGGGGGGGATTTTGAATTGCTCGTTGAAAGGGCTAATCAAAAATTTTTTTTAAGATGTGCATCAGCGACCAGGGGGTGGGGTGGGGTGGGGTAGATGGATTTCCCACGATTTGGAAACCTTAGTTGATAATTTATAGAGATGTTTAATTATTTGGTAGGCGGGAGAATCTCGATACTTCTGCAGGATTAGGAACTCCTTTTCCCATTAGAAGCGCCCCCGTCGTTCTGAATCGTATTTGGAAGGGAACCCTTCAGCCATTCCAAACAAGCAGCAGGGATCAACGGAACTGAGGAGAGTTTGGGTCCGCTTAGCCGCTTGTGGGCCGATTATCCTCCTTCCGCAACTCTCACTGGGGAGTGGGGAGAGAGAAGGAACCGATCCCTCCTTCAGAACACCTACCCGGTATGACATTTTCCACCAACAGCAATTTTGACGTGACTACAGTTCGGTCCTCCGGACAGCAGGAAAGATTGCTTAAATAAAGTTCTGGTAATATTTGGAGTATAAAGGGTTTTTTCCCCCTGTTTTCAAGGATGCAGACTGGTAAGAGAGACATGAAAAGAACACCGGTGTGCAGAAAGATGAAGAATCTGCTACTCTGGGAGGCGTTTCATAGCAGAATGAGAAGAGGTTTGGGGTGTTTTCTGGGAGGCCTTTGCCAGAGCATGTAAAATGAGAGAGTTGGCACAACCACCTCTGTTTTCTTGCCACCACAATAGACTGCCACTTGAAACGTTTGAGTCTGGCCCTGAGAAACTATAGGAATGCTTTCCCAGTCTCAAATCTGAGTAGATTTGGTAGTGGTCAGAAAGCTGTGTGTGTGTGTGGGGGGGGCAACCTGAAACATCAGCTCAGTTATTATCTCATAAAGTTGCTTTTTTACCGTTTTCTTGCTCTTTGGCAAACGCATGTTCTGGTAGCCCACACACTACGTAGCATCTTCAGAAAAGGAAAGGCGGTGATCTTTCACCCCTGTCGGAAGAGTGGCATGATAAAAGGAAGTCTGCACAGGTTAGCTATAGATGCTCTTGAATCCATTAGCCGTTGACACCGACTACTGTGTTTCCTGCCAGCCAGCTCTCTATTTCTTTGGGTTTTGCTTTGAAAGCTAGCACCTCCATAACATTTGGGCTGGGTTGTTTTTTTACCGTAGAGTCATTCCGTAATCTGGAGCTGCGGTGGCTCAAGTGGTTAAGACGCTGAACTGCAGGCTGTGAAAGGTCAGTAGTTCAGCAGTTCGAGACCCGAGTGTGCCACATGACGGAGTGAGCTCCCGTCTCTAGTTCCAGCTCCTGCCAACCTAGCAGTTCGAAAGCAAGAAATTGCAAGTAGATAAATAGGTACCGCTTTGGTGGGAAGGTGACAGCGTTCCGTGCGCCTTGGTGTTTAGTCATGCCGGCCACATGACCACGGAAACGTCTTCGGACAGCGCTGGCTCTTTGGCTTTGAAACGGAGATGAACGCCGCAACCCTAGAGTTGGATTCAACTGGCTTTCAAGCAAGGGAAACCTTTACCTTTACCTTTACATTCCGTAATAATCATTTGGACAAATGTTTTGCAGCTCTCTTCCCATCGTGATTCATACCGGTGTGTGTTTGTGTTCAGCAGAGCTGATCAGCAGATTGAGAAATGGTTATGACCTTTTCTTCTAAAAATAGGATCCCCTACGTGTCCACCTAATCAGCCTAACGGTGGCCTGTTTCCGGGTGGTGGTGGTTTCCTCCCCGTTTTAGACCAATTGGCCTCATTAAACACCTGTCGGCGCCCCTCTTTTAAAATTTTTAAACCAATATTATTTCGGACAATACCGAGCAGATTTGGTGGTTGCTAGCTTTGGTGCAATTTCTGTATGTATATAAAAATTAAAAGCCATTGCAAAAATATAGAGGGCCAATTATTTGGAGGCAACATGTGCTGTAAACAGGCTGTACAATCTACAGATCTTCAGAGAGTGAAGTGGCGTCAGGACAGCAAAGAAAGACGACGTCTGAGGATTTCAACGAGGCTCTGCCGGGTCACGGAGGAAGCCGAGCCAGCGGATCCCTCTTCAGCCTCCTGCGTATCTGTGACTCTAGTTGTAGGGATTTGGGTCTCGAGCAAGAAAGCTGGGCATCCAAGACGGAAGACTTATCCTGCTCAGAGGCGGCCCAACATCTGCTTCTCTAATAGGCAGGAAATAAGATCCTTGAGCTGCGGTGGCTTAAGTGGCTAAGACGCTGAACTGCAGGCTGTGGAAGGTCAGTAGTTCAGCAGTTCGAGACCCGGGTGCCGCATGACGGAGTGAGCTCCCATCTCTAGTTCCAGCTCCTGCCAACCTAGCAGTTCGAAAGCAAGAAACTGCAAGTAGATAAATAGGTACCACTTCGGTGGGAAGGTAACAGGGTTCCGTGCGCCTTGGTGTTTAGTCATGCCGGCCACATGACCACAGAAACGTCTTCGGACAGCGCTGGCTCTTTGGCTTTGAAATGGAGATGAGCACCGCAACCCTAGAGTTGGACTCGACTGGCTTTCGAGCAAGGGAACCTTTACCTTTACTTTAAGATCCTTTTGGGTTGGGGAGACTCAGTATACGTGTGATTAACTTCCATAGAAGCTGGATTTGTATTCCTTTCTAAAGCACTTTGAAGGAGAGATACGTACGTGTTCGTGGAAAGGGAAGGTGACGAGAAGAAACAGAATGTGAAATATACAAAGAGGCAAGGTCAGAAGGGCAGGGCATCCTGAAGTCATTCTGGTTTAAAAAGAAGCAGGACGGTTCTGACATTGTTAATTGGTTTGATGGGGAAGGGGGATTTGCAGATTCGGGACCTGCTTGCTTTCCACATTAGAGTTTCCTTTCTTCTCTGTTCTTCTTTCTGGTCACGGTCAGAGTGTCCCTTTTAGCAACAACACCGTTGTCAGGATCATGAACAGCAAATCATTGGCCATGCGCAATAGATCTGGTTGTGCCATCTTACCACTTGAATACCACTGACTTGCTCTTGCGTTGGTACACTGGGTCCCCACAGGTGACCAGTCCAAAGTGAGCTATCCTGCAGAGCAGAGGGATTTTTTTTTTGGGGGGGGGAGATTGTGTGGGTCACATGCACCTATTGGCAAAACAGTCTCAATGTCTGGATCTCCGGGTGGTCTGGCGGGGGTGGGCTCCTACTCCTCCTGGCAGCATCTGAGCCCCAGTTCCTTCCCACCAAGAGTTGGCTTGGAAGCAGCGCCTGGCTGGGCCTCCGTTTCCCCAGCATGACTGTGGGAAGGTGGAGGAACTTAACCCAAACTGAATTGAATTAAGAACCGAAAAGTTAGGAGCATCTGAATGTATACACCCAATAGTGTGTGGATGTCATTTTAAGCCAGCTGAACATTATTTTAGCTTTCTTATCTCAAGCACAGAATTGCGGTTTGTGTGGGGTGTCCCCCCCCCCCTTCTCGGTTCCTGATATATTTTTTTTGTCCTTTTATTTTGTTGCGGATACAAAAGGCAGAAACCTTTCCTCTGGAGCGCTTTCTGAGGCAAAAGCACGAATGTTATTTTTACGAGTCCTTTGTACAGTCTTCTGAGATAAACTAACAATTTTAAACAAAACCCTCGGTATTCATCTCATTGCCTGTCTGCCCTCCTTTAAGCTTGTTTCGTTCAAAGAGTTGATTGCATTTAACCAGGGCTCTTTTTGTAGAAAAAGCCCAGCAGGAACTCATTAGCATAATAGGCCACACCCAACAGCAGAAACTCATTAGCACATTAGGCCACACCCCCTTGTTACCAGAAGTGTGGTCATCCAGCCACACTCACCTTTTGCTTCTTATTCTGTTTACCTTGTTTGTTGTCAAAACCCTGGGCTTTTTTTGTAGCAGGAACTCCTTTGCATGTTAGGCCACACACCCCGAATGTAGCCAATCCTAATGAGTTTCTGCTGTTGGGTGTGGCCTATTATGCTAATGAGTTCCTGCTGGGCGTGGCCAGCTCGGGAGCCAGCCGGAATTCCGTTCCTGTGCGTTCCTGCCCAAAAATAGCCCTGCATTTAACAAATAGTGTGTAGGAGTGTCTTGCCTGGGACACCGCCCCAGAAGAAAACGGCGTTTCTGCATGAAGAGGAGATATTTGCCGAAGAATGGTTTCAACACACACCATTGCTGTGTGGATTCCGGAAGCGTCAGCAGCAGCGGAGGCCAGCTTCTCTCCTTCCCGCCCTCTGAATACCGTTTTTTCTCATACTAGGGTAAGCGAGCTAGGTACATTTTTTTTCTCTCTCCCAAAATATTAGGTCTTGAAGGCATCCAATGAAGCTGATGGGCAGTAGGTTCAGAATGGAGAAAATGAAATGCCACTCTACACAGAGTGGGAGTAAAATGTGGAATTCTCTGCCAGATGATGTGTTGATTGCGATTGGAATTAACAGCTTGAAAGGGGGATTAGATAGATTCATGGAGGATAAGTCTTTCAATGGCTACTAGCCATGGTGGCTGAGCGGAACCTCCACATTGAGAGGCACTGAGTCTCTGAATCCCAGAGCCAGGAGGCAGCATCAGGGGAAGGCCTCGGCCTCTATGCCCTGTTGTTGGCCCTCCAGAGGAACTGGTTGGCCCCTGGGTGAGACAGGATGCTGGACTAGATGGACCACTGGTCTGATCCAGCAGGGCTCTTCTGATGTTCTTATCAGGAGAAGGCCTTGGCCTCTATGCCCTGTTGTTGGCCCTCCTGAGGAACTGGTTGGCCCCTGTGTGAGACAGGAGGCTGGACTGGATGGACCCCTGGTTTGATCCAGCAGGGCTCTTCTGATGTTCTTCTCGGGGGAAGGCCTCGGCCTCCATGCCCTGTTGTTGGCCCTCCAGAGGAACCGGTTGGCCCCTGTGTGAGACGGGATGCTGGACTAGATGGACCCCTGGCCTGATCCAGCAGGGCTCTTCTTAGGTTCTTACTGAGGAAAGCCTCGGCCTCTCTGCCCTGTTGTTGGCCCTCCAGAGGAACTGGTTGGCCACTGTGTGAGACAGGATGCTGGACCAGGTGGACCATTGGTCTGATCCAGCGGGGCTCATCTTATGTTCTTTTATACCTCTTTCTTAATGGGAGTATATTGACATTTAGCATCCTGGGAGAATTCTTGGTAGGCCACTGCCCAAGATGGCCCCTGGTCTCCAGCAGGATGCTGAGCTTGATTCGGACTTGGGCTCTGGCAACGATGGTGGTGGGTGGAGGCTCGTCCAGTGGAGAGGTCCCATATCCACAGTCTGTTGCTGTCACAGTCCAGGTCTCCAGCACTCCAGGAGGCCACTGGAGTCTGCCTGACCTGTTGGCTGTTTAAACATTCCAGTCTTCCCCTTGTCTGCTCGTTGCTTTTGTGAGACAGGAACTCTGCCTCTACTTGTGTTTTCCCAACCCAACTTGAGAAACACGACAACAGTCCTGTAGAGGAGAAAACACTAAAAAAAATTATTAATTACTAAAGGGAAGAGTACAGAGTAACAAGGTGCTGGACCCTCAAATACCCACCAACTCTCCCGAAGCTATAATGGGTGACATAGCATTTTATACTCAAAATGACATAGGCAAACAAAAGCATGATTATTGGTTCCATTAATTTCGTCATAAAGATCTAATTGGGGTAAGACTCATGGGTTGGGTTTTCCCAAGCAAAGTCCTATCCCCCTAGTTAAACAATAGACACTTCTTTTTCTTAGCCCATGAAGCTCTAAAATCCGGGCTATTTTTGGGCAGGAACGCACAGGAACAGAGTTCTGGCTAGCTTCAGAGTTGGCCACGCTCACTACAGCCAAAATCTCGGTGTGCATGGCTACAGAGGGAAGGCCTGAAGAGCAACCCCCCAGCTGACTCCGAGGCAGGCAGGCCATGGGGGCCCTGGAAGGATGGGGGAGGCGTTAAAATGCCTCCCCGTGCCTTCCCCAGCCTGTCCAAGGGCTGGCTTGCCCGGTGTCCCACTCTGATTTAGGATCCCTTGATAAGACCCAGAGCACCCTCCCAAGGCCTCCAGACCTCCCTTTTGGCTGAATAATAGGCATGAGGACCAGGCAGAGTACACAACAAGGAAAAGGTTTATTTTATAGGTGGTCAAGAAAACAAGGTGCAGGAATAATAACAGCAAGTGGGTGAAAAGAAAAGGAATCAAATGCCCTAACATATCTAAATATATACTGTCCCTAGCTCACTATCTCAAGTGGCCTTAAACT